CTTTTTTTTTTGTTTTTTGGAAAATTTCTTAGGATGATAAAAAGTGTTCCGAGGCTTAACAAAAATCATATTTACAGCAGGGTTTATCTCATATTTCTCAATATAAATATATTTAATAACTACGGAAAGAAATTTTATTTCGCCGGATTCGATTTTCTACTGTATTTCGTTGGGATTCATGTTTTGTCATATTTGGCGCATATGTGCATAAACCTTGAATATGTATTCTAACTAGTTTATAACATCCAGTAGGAAACGTTGGAGACCCTTAAAAAACGAATATATAAATAATCAACATGACGAGTTGAGTCGATTTAGCCATTTAGACCATAGGTCGCGGTGCATACCTCTGATCTAGGCGACTGTATATTTTGAGATATCGATACGAAATTCCGCACATGTCCTTTTCTCCCCAAGGAGGTACACATTTGTCGGAACCACCTATATCGGACCACTATAGCATATAGCTGCCATACAAACTGACCGATCAAAGTTAAGTTCTTGTATGAAATTTTTTTTTATTTGACAAGATATCTTCACGAAATTTGGCATATAATATTATTGCAGATAACGCTAGAATCTCCAAATTCAAAACGGACACTTATAGCATTTAGCTGTCATATAAACTAAATGATTCAAAACAAGTTCTTGTATGGAATCTTTTGTATTTGGAAAGGGTATTATAGTTTGCAACCAAAGTAACATTTTTTTCTCGTTTTTTTTTTGAACTTCATTTTAAAACTATTTGAAGGTGACCAGTATTTGTATGCCGTAATATGTCGACATCTTTTTGTAAATGATGAGTATACTAATTTAAAAAGAAACTAAAAAAAGTAAAGTATATTTCTAAAATCGAGTTTTTAATTTCTCAAAATTAATCTCAATAATTATTGTTTTAAAGTAATTTTTGCATAAAGCACAAAGTTTGATCGCTGCAATATTCGAAGTGACTTAAAGTGACGTCATTCAAGTATACTATTTCGGCTAAATACTCGTACGTTTGACTCACTTGCATTATTAGCCAATAAATCAGATAATAGTAACAAAATTACGTAATAAACATTAAATGGCGTGTGTTAGAGTATAAATCCATAAATTATGTGTTTATTTATTTTATACTCAATAATTATACATACTCGTAATATTAAACGTATACGCAAGCAGTTACGTCTACTCTGTTCGAAGGTTATTGTTGTTTTAATTATGACATGTTCTCGAATATATGAATATAAATTAGCTTAAAGTATAGTTAAACGAACGAGGCGTGTTCTAAAAGTCAGCTGACTTTTTATATTTATAAACTACTTTTATTTACTGAAAATTACGATCATCTCTCAAGCTATTGCACAACTCAAACGAGTTCCTTACGTACAAGTATACCACTATATACAATATTCCTATCCTTACTACTACGAAGGTTTGACTAGTGATTAACAATTGAGGTTCATGATTGACACCGTCTCGGCCTACTTTTCATTAAGAAGAGAAAGCAGAACTTCATTCCATTTATTTTTTTTTTTTAATTAAACCGCAATTATTTAATAACAATTTTTTCGACTAAAGGAAATCTACGACCAGATCAAGATTAACAGATATTGAGCAGATGGCCGTTTCGCTCTGTACCTGTTTAAGAGCGTGTCTGACAGTTAAATGTCTGTATGTTGATGTCGGAAATAAAATTATGAAAGTTGTCTGTTTACTATTGCTTTTTGACAGTTTTTCTATGATGCACCTTACCATAATAATCCAATAAGAAAACCGCAAATATTATGTGTCTCGTCTTACTAGCTGTATATCCGAAATCATAACAAAAAAAAAAAATAGAGAGGAAATGAAGCGAGAATTTGGGTATTCTCAACATTTTGTATATAAAATGATTGAATTCTGCTCCAAAAAAGAAGCGCCAGCAAGAAGAACTCAATATTTTTTTCGTGCACATATAAAAGATGCTTGGCGGCTCCACAATCCGTAAGATAAAATGAATATACAGAGTAAAATATAATTAGAGAATGACATATAAGCATGATAAAATATTAAAAAAGGCTTGAGACACAAATACAAAAAACAAGCAAATGTACTATAATGCACTTGTACTTGATTTCATTGTCTTAAATATAATTGTTATGTTTACTCTCTTTTACTAGTGCATTGTTTATAATGACCAAATAATTACACAGAATCTTACTTTATGTGTTGGCTTTTCAAAATATAACTGCCATAAAAATGATAAATATAATTAAAGCAAAGTAATGCAATTTCGCGAAGTCCGCAATGGCGATCTCGTTTACAGGGGGGTTTCCCACCAATTGCACGTGCAAATGTTTTTAAGTGCATTTAGTGAATTATTACGTATATTAAATGCATAGTAAATATTTATAACTGTTCTATTACATAATGATTGTTTGTCGAAAAGCGAGAATAACCGAAGCGTGTTCCATTATCAATTATAATTTTAACAGATTGAATACAGAATGAGAATTGTGCAGGAGAACGTTCGAGTGAAAGATACTGCGACAGTTTTAAGCTACTTTATATATTCTATATAAGAACTACCATAATAAACCGAAAAGTAATGTTAAATTTTTTTAACTGTCGATACGTTAAAAGCGCTGGAAAGTTGATGATATACGCAGTAATGACTTTGCACTTGTTGCAAAAATACCATTTGGCTCGATAAAATATGTGTATATGTGGTTATGTCATAAGTAAAAATCCATTTGGGTAATAAGAAATTGAGTATTTTGCTCTTCAGTGCGATGCCCATTAATCTGCCTTTAGTTTGAATAAGTGAAACAAGACAACTATACAAGTTCATTAGATCGAAATACAAAAAATGTTTATATAGATAGGCTCGCTCTATATAAGGGAGGTAATGGCACCTTCGCATGTACTCCTAATATGAAAATGGTTCCCCGGAGATGGGTTAGAACACGAAGGACCCTTCTTTGATCATTTATATATAAATAAATGCCTGCAATACTATTGATACCTACAACTAATTAAATAGTTTAAAGCTTGAACTTGTAGTGCAAAAGCTATAAGCAAAAGTTCTAAAAATTGATTGAATTACTTGGAATACGGTCGTGATGTTACAAATATCATGAGCAAGATAATAGCTCGAATTCCGTGAGTTACAGGAATCAGTTGCTTACGTAAGGGTAATGAGTGGAAGTTATATAAATAAATATGACAACATTTAATTATTTGAAGAGTGGCGAAAAATGTTCTTATAAAACCACGAAGTTATAGAAAAACTTACAAATGGATTACGGTACAAAAAATTATTCATGCTCGTTTCATTTTGGCAGCTGTCGCTTTTACACCACTTCGTTATAAATAGAGTGATATAAAACCCATGCCGATGATCACAATCGACATTACGTAATATTTCGAAATGATAAAACAGTTGTGAAGAAGGTTACAATAGACACTTTGTGGAGTGTTTCGTAATATTTCGTTTACCACCTCGTTAATTTTCGGGATGAACTTATCACAAAAGGCATGTCGTGGAATTTCCCAATTATAACATTCGCTTATATGGAACTACAAGTAGAAATGTTACGGCTCAATAGAACCAGTTCGACACTAATAAATTAGATAAGATTAAAAGTTTAGCAATGCACTGCGACCTATGGTCTACTGTGCCCTCTGAACTAGTATCTAGTCTAACGGCTTTATTTGTCCTTATCTCTTTTAAAGTTATCAAATTATCGATTAATTTGTAGTAAATGGTATAACGGAAGATAGCATTAGTTGTGGCTTACTAATCATCATTTAAATGACAACTAGTTATTAATCGTTTTATAATTATAATTCGCGTTTTGAGGAGCTACTAGTGCAGTAATGATTACTGAGCTTATAAAAACAATTATGTATTTGGTTGTTTGCGTTTCGTCCTTAAGCATGGGAGAGAGTAAGAGTGCTGCAGCCAGTATAATTTGTTTAAGAAAGCTGTTAAATAACGCCGCAATCAGCTGACAATTAAATTGTTTTAACATATTGACGTTAAAGTTGAGGTTAATAAATTAAAACACACAATTGCTATGTTTAGATTAATTCTTCAGGCATAGCGCTGAAAAGAGCTTAAATCAAAATTTAAGATTTCGAACAATAAAATGTTCTCTACATATTTTACACAAACGCGTATGTGTAAATAATTAACTAATTGACTAAATTAAGAGTAAAAGGCGAGTCATGCGGTTATGCCTCTTTTCACAGTTAGTCTCACATATATACTTGTAAATTGTATATATGTATATATTGTTAGATATAAACTGTTCTTACTTTTACGTGAAGCATTTTATGGACTTATGGTCGTTCTCACTGCCATACTTATGCTAATTACTGAACTAAATTACAATGTTTGTAAAAGATTGGCACTTAAATTACAATTTTTGTTAACAAATAGTAAAGCTGGCAAGCACGCCAATAAAAACCTTTTATTAGATCATTAAAAAAAATAAAATTTTCGCTTTTATATATGCTATACACTAAGCGCAGTGTGGCTAAGGGCACAAGTATTGTAAAATGACGATGTAAATTTGTTGCCGCTTTAATACCATTAATACACTATAATTGTTGTAAAACTGTTTGTTGTTGGGCGCTTATTATTGATTACATGATGCGTTTTTGTTTTTAGTTTAATTTTAGTTGATAATTGCCTATTATTATGTATTAACAGGCAGAACAACAACACCAAAAAAAATTATTATAATTATGATAATAACCGTCTACTTTGCGTTCAATTATATAAATATTGTAATATAAATTTTTAATTTTTATGGTATTGCCACTTATTATACGTTTGTATGTATTTTTGGTCTAAAATTAATTTTTTTCAAATTTTATTTTCAAAAATGCAGTTTTTATAATTTTTCAATTGCATATCATTGTTGTATTTAAATTTTTTTTTAAACATATTTTTATAGTATTTTTTTTTTATAACTTTATAGTTTTTTAAATAATTTCATTTTCAAAATTTTTTTTACTTATTTTTTTACCTTTTGAAATGCGTTAAAACCGCGCACTCACAAACACACGCACGCGTTTTATTGTCACAATTTAATTCACTACCAAAAACGGTTGGTCAGTTGTTGTTTTTCCTTCTTGAAGAGTTCGTCCTCTTGCAGTTATTGTCACTGATCGCCAGCCAGCTTTATATGTCTGGTATACTTAGAGTACTCGCGCTTGCCTTTTTGGTAAGCTTTGAATTGGTTGTTATTTATGTAGTTTTATTATTGGATATTCATGCGAGTATCGTGCGCGCGTTGCCGTGACGTGTTGTTGCTGGTAGCGCGATCGTTTTCCGACTGATATCAATACAACGGTGTTGGCGAAAATTATGACTACCGCTCTCCAAGCTGTGAAGCTACTAAGCTGCATGCGTTAAGCGTCAAGCGGCGGTTAGTTTATGCTGCCACCACAGCTGTCGTCAGCGCTGCTGCATTTTAGCGTTAACGCTTACTCAGGCCGGCGGTCGAGAATGGTGATCGTGTTGTGAGGTGGGCTGCTGCAGTAGCTGATGAGTGTATGATGTATTTCGGTTAATGAAGGCTGGTTTATTGTTTGTTGTATGGCTAAACGCAACTGCATGCATATTTGTATATAGAAATAATGCGTATGTGCATACAAGTCAACATCTTGAGCTTGTTAATGGAGACAAGTGGTGTTTTGGGAAGCTTTATGCAGTTTTGAATTTTTGTACAGTGTATTGAAGATATAAAAAATTTTAATTTATAATTTTGTTGTAATTTTATTACTTATATCTCTATATATACTTTGGCTTTACTTATACGATATTACTTTGTAGATACTAATATCGATTTACCGATTTAGGTAGTTTTGTGAAAATATTCCACGAGTACAAAAAAAAATAAGTTTACTCTCCCAGAATTGGAGTTATGACTAAAAACATAACTTTTGGCATATTAACGAGTTCTACAAAACTCTTCACCGTAAACCTTTATAACACAAAAAGCAAATATTGCGAACAATTGTACACCTAAAAGATGGCGATGAAACCGATTACTCATTTTTGTTGCAATAAAATCGTGTTTTTTTAATCAATATTCACAGTATAGTTTCTTAAAAGCATGCTTTAGAATACGTATAAAAATTAGTGCGAAGCATATAAATCAGTCTGCTATGATTCAGCGTACACAGCGTCACTCATACGCAGCGTCGCACAATCGAACTGTCTAATGTTAGTAGCAAGTAAAGTATTATACCAGGGTAGATAATTTTAGAGAACAAAAGGAATCATAGTAGGATGAAACCCATTGGAAAAGAGATATAAAAATACAAAAATTATTTACGGACGATCTGCGGTCGGAACGATGAAGTTGAGAGCGTTGTTAAATTTGTAAGTGTCAAAAACGGTTTATCTCGATTTCAGGCAAAATTAGGAGTTCTATAGAAAAAAGTCATATAGCAAAGTTGTAGGTAACGAAAAGATCTACAACTTTTGTATCTGTTGTGCAGGCGAGGTAATTCGTAGTAAATAGTATTAAATGAGCATGTACTTAAAATTATGTATACTTATATATATACCTCTTACAACGCTGTAAACTATTCTTGCACTCTCTTTCTAGTATTCCTATTATTCATATATTGTCATGCTTATGTATACATTTCAATAAAGTCGTTCATTATTATGTCCACGGAACTTTGGTATCAACGCCTTTTGGACATAACCTCAAAATTTATGTAAAAAAGTAAAATAAGCAAGTTTGCGGGTTTGTTATTTTCATCTTGTACAAAATTCTTTTTCCTTTCAAAACATTTGGTGTTAACTTACCTAAATATGTCACAAATAAACCATACTTTTTAGGTTTAATATAGAAAAGAGACTTTAAATCGAAAAAAAACCGAATTTTCAATCAAAAATTTTCATGTTAAAATTTCAGATTAAAACAAAAAAAAAACGAATTTTCAATCAAAAATTCTCATGTGAAAATTTCAGATTTTTTTAAAAAGTCAGTAGGCTGAAAATTTGCTGAAATCTCTAATCTCTGTTGGTATAAAAATTACTAAAGATGGAATTTTTTAATTTTTGTGTTATAATTCGTCTTGTATTCTTTTATTGAAACTTTTTCTTAAAAATAGTACATGCAGTCATTAAAATTCGTACTTCAGTTAATTTTTTTAGCTTTAAATAAATTAAATTTTTTTATTATTTATTTATTTTCTAAAGTTTTTGTTTCTAATTATTTAAGAACTTTGTTTTATAACACGAATTTATTATTATTTATAATTTTCTCATTTTTTGCAAATTTTATGTATACTAGTTAGTTTTAGTTGTTTTTCTTATGGTTGGCAATTTTTTAATGGAATAATTGTCAATTGATATTAAAAAATAATAATAACTTTGCTTCTTGCTTCAAATTTGACATACTGCTGCTGCTGGCTACAATTATACCGTTATAATGTGCAAAATGTGTACAAAGTAACTGCAAAGTTAAGGAAATATTATTATTTATATGTTATTACGGCCTTTTTAATAAAAATTATTGTTAATATACATTGTTATAACGGTATGTGGAATGCAACTAATTTTTAAAATAAGCAATTTACAAGCTTTTGTCAAATTCGAAAATAACATATAATTTAAGCATATGTATGTATTAAAAGTAATTGTTTTATGAAATAAAATATAGAAATTAATTTATTCTATATTTTAAAATTTTTTAACATATACAATTATTAACTTTTTTTACTTATACAAAGCTACTACAAACACTGTGCTTCGCCCGCATACTTCACTTCATTACTCAGATGCCTACTTACTATATACAAATCTATGTTTTTTCATACATATGCATATGTATGTTCTTATACATACACAATAAATGTAAATGAGCAATGATATATGTATGTAAAATAAGAAGAGCGCAAGCACAGCATGTCTTACTAGGTCGTTGTCATTTCTCGCGCAAAGTAGAAATGCAAAATAGTGAAAAAAATCTATTTTGGCGCAACGCAGACTGGCGATATGAATTGCTTATATGGCAGCTATATACAACATACATAGTTTTGTTGTTGTTTTACCTTTTACTTACTTGCCTAGCATTTAACCACTATCAACCGGAGTTTGTTGTAATTTTCTTCTTCTTTCCATTGAGGCTTGCTATAGCATAAAATTGCCACCTGTTGTTAGTGTTTAAGGTATTGCAATAGTTTTTGTTGCTGTTATTGCTTTCGCTGTGCTCTCATCTTTTGTTCGTGACGCTTGCACGGGCTATTGGTTTTGTTTTGCTGGCTTGATTCGCGTCATACTCGAACGAACTTTATATGGTTGTGTGTGTATATGTGTATGTTTGTGCGTATTTATGTTTGTCTATATGCATGCATGTTTATATAAATTTATGTGTGTATGTAATTTCATACACAGAATTTCATAGTTTCGACCAAACACCTATAATGATTAGCGATGTTTACTGTTTTCTTCTTCTTTCGCATTGCGCAAACTTCTTTATCTTCAAAGCTTACATAGATGTATTTATGTATGTACATATATGTGTGTGTATATACTTATATTTATATATATAACTTGTTTTTGTGCAGCACATCATTTGTTAAGTTATTTAGCTACTTAACCTTCTCTGTGGTTTAATCATGCGACCGTTCAAGCATCCGAGGCGATTATCAATCAAACGAATGTTTGATCGAATCGGCGCCCGATTGTTGAAACGAGCATTAGACTGACAGCCACTTACTTAGCTGGGGCAATTATTGATGTGTGCACAGTTAAATGTGCTTTTATGTGTGTTTGCTGGTATATACAATATATACAAACAAATACATATATTTATATATAAGCGATCTCACACTTTTAATTGCCTTGAGATTGGGTTGCACTCACTGCCGTTTGTTGTTGCCTTTGCTGTCACTTGCCGCTGGCCGCTTGTTGCATTACACTTAAGGCACTTCGCCGTCAGATCAGGTTGAACTGCTCTGCGTTTGCACGTGAATCGTTTTTTTTATACTCTCGCAACCTGTTGCTACAGAGTATAATAGTTTTGTTCACCTAACGGTTGTTTGTATCACCTAAAACTAATCGAGTTAGATATAGGTTTATATATATATAAATGATCAGGATGAAGAGACGAGTTGAAATCCGGGTGACTGTCTGTCCGTCCGTCCGTCCGTCCGTCCGTCCGTCCGTGCAAGCTCTAACTTGAGTAAAAATTGAGATATCTTTATGAAACTTGGTAGACATGTTTTTTGGTACCGTGAGACGGTTGGTATTGCAGATGGGCGTAATCGGACCACTGCCACGCCCACAAAACGCCATTAATCAAAAACAAATAACTTGCCATAACTAAGCTCCGCAATAAGATACAAGACTGTTATTTGGTACACAGGATCACATTAGGGAGGGGCATCTGCAGTTAAAACTTTTTTTTTTAAAGTGGGCGTGGTCCCGCCTCTAATAGGTTTAATGTGCATATATCCTAAACCGCTAATGCTATAATAACAAAATTCACTAGAAGCAAATGTTTTTAGCACTTCTATAGACGGTGTGAAAATAGTTGAAATCGGGTGGCAACTCCGCCCACTCCCCATATAACGGTACTGTTAAAAACTACTAAAAGCGCGATAAATCAAGCACTAAACACGCCCGAGACATTAAATTTTATCTCTGAGATGATATAAATTGGCTTTATAGGAACCGCGTTCAAAATTAGTCAGTGGGCGTGGCACAGCCCACTTTTAGGTGAAAACCCATATCTTGAGATCTGCTCAGCCGATTTCAACCAAATTCGGTGCATAACGTTCTTTTCATGTTTCTATGTCATAGTGCGAAAATGGGCGAAATCGGACTACAACCACGCTAACTTCCCATGTAACACCATTTTCAATTCCATCTGATTCTTTCACTTTCCACTATGCAAATCAGGTAACAATGATTATATCGGGGTAAAACTTTGCGTGAATAATGCAATTAAAGTATGCAACCTTGCGGCCAAAAATTGTCTAAATCGAACCAAAACTGTTCAAACCCCTAAGTCCTAAATATGTGGACCCCAGTGCCTATAGTTGACCTTCTACCGAAAATATCAGTCAATCCACAACGAAATCTCAAACGAGTATACCATTTGACTTTGCGAGAGTATAAAATGTTCGGTTACATCCGAACTTAGCCCTTCCTTACTTGTTTGTTTTTGTTTTCATTTACCTTACGTTAGTAAGTGCTGCCACCGTTGCGCTGGTGTGCAATGGAAAATTTTTTGAATGAAACCATTCAAAAGTTGCAACAATAGCAACAATGTGTGCAGCGCGAAGTGCTTGGGGAAGCGCCACAATACACACAGTAGCCGCCGGTGTAGCAGCAACAAGCAGCAGATTGAACAGTATTGGTGCTTTTCACAAAACAAAACAGAAAAAAAAAGGTTGGGCTACACTGAAGCT